TGAGCGTCAGCCTGGGATGTTTCCAGCGCGGCTCTCCGCTCTCTCAGCTGGGTCTGCCTCTCCACCAGGTCGCGGATCTGCTTCTCCACGGCCTCCAGCTCGAGCTGCACCAAATGCAGCTCGAACGTGTCCTCACCTGCACTCAAAGGTAGACACACATCCGCCATTAAAGCAAGTAACAGTGAATAGTGTATTAGTAATGTAAGCGAGATTAGCGGCAACCACGCTGGCGATGCTAGCGGGCTATATGCTAATAGCGGACTCGGGAAGTCAAAAATAGAACTAACGTTAGTGATAACAAGGCGCTCTGATTGTTTTTGTTGTAGAATACGATAGGGGATATATTCACACGTTATAGAAACGAAAATGATGGTGTATAAAATTGATTTTAAGATAAAAAATTAGACGACAAAGAATTAACTTGACGGAGCTCAAACTCAAAACACACGGCAGCAACCTTTTAATTGTTTTAAAAAGTCCCACAAACTTGCGAGTTACCGTTTGAATGAGTCTGATGATTCCTTTCTCAAGATCAAGTGTTTTTAAAAAAGTATCACCAGAAAGTATTTTAAAATGTTTGCTGCTGCTGACATGGCATTAAAAAAGCACTAAAGTAAATACAAATGAACTCAAGATAAAGTTATTATTACTTCCGTGGTAGAGTATTTAAATATATTATAAATATAACATATATAGTGTATATTTTAATATTATTATATATTCATATAAACCCAATACAGAGTATGTATCAAACAGTGTTTTTTCTTTTCTATGTAAGTTCGAAGGTTTGTCCTTTAGTATCAAATGACTTTGTTGGTGTAGTCAGCAGAAAGCTGTCACGTCAAACCGATGCAGATGAAAGATGGCTTTGAGTTTATGTTTGGATGTGAATAGAGAACAGTGTAGTTCAGTCAGACGTGATGGATGGTCGAGCGCTTTCTAAATAGTTTTTGTGCATACGGTGTAATTTCAGAGTAATGCAATATGTGTGAGTCGAGTGAAAAGAACTCATTTGGGAGTCGGAATAAAAATAGTGTTCGTGGGCATATTTTTATGATTCGGTGAAGTATTTTGCCTTTGCTGTTGTGTAAGTGAATGTGTGTGTGTAGTTGTGGGTGTAGTAGGTGATGTCATTTTATTAGCTATAACTTATTTAATTTTCTCTGCCTTATATTAATATTTCATGCACAAAGTAAAGCATAAGAAAGGTCTGAACACTAGGACAAATCTTTATCATTTTAATTTACATACACCAATATAAAAATGCATAGTAACAAGCATCAATATTTTCAATATTTATCTACAAATATGTTACAAAAACATACACTGTCAAATTATTATAATTTTAACTATAAAGACTGTAAAGTGCTACAGTAAAAAGCTGTTAATTAAATAATGGTAAATTTTAAACTAAAATTTACAGGTTGTTTTGTAAATATGTTTACATTTTTGCTGTATTTTACTGTTTTTTTTTCTGTAAAAGTGACAGAATTTATTTTACAGTATATTTTTATATATTAAATATATGTTAATGTTTTGAATATGATTGTCGGCACAACCAAATCATTGAATCGTTAAGTTTTGAATCGATTCACTGATTCACTGATTCAGTGGAGGGAATTGAACTAAATAACTCTTTTAAGAGATGTCTTTTAACTAGTCTGAACTAGTCTTGTGATGCAGCCTTCAGGAAACCTAATGACCAAAGAAGAACCATATTACACCCAACATAATATGGTTTAATTTTACATCGCCAGCAAAACATTTGCAAACATTGAACGAATATTCAATATTTCGTTCAACACTAATAAGGAAACCACACAATGAGGTTGTTTTTGTGAACACGCACACACACACACACGCACACACACACACTCACTCTCACGCATCACACACACAC